GAAACTGATTTTGGGAGGCGGTTAGGTGAAGTTAGGTTAGGTCAGGTTAAATTGGTCAGAGGGAAGGTATAGAGATAACAGGAAAGTAGGTACTGAGATAACAGGAAAGTACCATTATATGTTATATAGTGAGGTGAGAATAGTTGGGTTATAATTCTTGCAGTCACAGGATATCAGTACTGTAAATTCCATTTTTTTTTATTCTTGGGCAACCTTAGCCATACTCTACTGCTTTAAATAGTAAATATGCTGCCAAAAGTAAAATATTTATGGACGTTATGCCAAACTCACCGCCTGAAAGGTAATTGAATTTTGCAGGAAACCCTGCCAGGGTTACTTCAGATCCAAAAGCAGAGTCCTGACAGTTGAAATAGTTGATTACCACTGAGGGTCGTCCTGTACTGACCACTTCTTCTTGCAACAGCTCCATGGTATTTTTATCTTCCCTGTTTGGAAAAGCCTCTACTGCAAAACCTACTTGAATTTAATTGGTATTCATTTATATTTTTGTCACCTCAAATCCGGATGACGACTGTAGAAGAACCCAGCTTTCGAGATGTCTTCGCAAATCACGTCAACTTCCATCACGTTGATTCCCCCGATGTATATGAACTGATTGATGTGAAGGTTTAGAGTGTTGTCTGGGTTTAGTAGGTAAGTCTCATAATGGATCATGCCTTGTTCTGTCATTAAAAAAAAGAGGCGGTTTTGGAAATGGAATGTCGCTCGATAAATTTAGCCACTTCTGATTCGTTTTTCTTACCCGTGATGTGAAAAGCTGTGAAGCCTATGGTTCCATTAGCAGTTTTTTCCCATCCGCCAATACTTGTTCCCAATCCCTGGAATTACCGCAAAACGTTTTTGGTGGATCCGACATCCGGACACCCAGACATTAGCGTGATTCAACAAGTGGACACACTTTTACTCAGGAAACTCCTGCCCCAATGCCTCGACAATTGCTTAACATACAGGCACATTTATTATATTTTCAAAAAGGAAAAATGGATTTTAAAAAAATGAGGAAATCGCTTGAAACAATTGTGGCCTCAATTAGGGGAAAAGTCATAATACAGTGTAACTTATCATATAACTTTTATGTATTTTCAAAAACAGGCTAATTTTATGCTTCTCGTTTTAGGGATTTTTCCATTTTGCTTTTAGACTTTTTTTTTTTTTTTTTTACCGAAAGGGCATTTATTTTCTGCTTTTCTTCTATAACTTTTTTTCTACATCTCGAAGTTGAAGAAACAAATGCTCTTGAATTTGTCGGAGGACTTTCATCGATTTTCTGTCAAACAGGTGAAATGATTCAACATTTTTTCACTGAAGCCTACTGAAAAAATTGATGTGACCTGCAGATTTTCTGACATATAGACTCAGTATGAGAATTAATTGTGTCCGCATTTTGGGGCACCAATTTCCTTAACTCCAGTGTTTATTTTTTTAGTTATGGGGCTACTCGGCTCGTGAAAAATATTCAAATTTAAAAAAGGTTAAACTTCAATATTTTAGAAATTGAATATTTGTTGAAGAGGTCCTTGAATGAACTCTTCAACTCCTGACTTATTTGCGCTGAAACGAAGTATCCTTTGAGCGAGAGAAAATATTCAGTAATTTTAATAAAATTGGGATGTTTTTTTTGTGAAAATCTTGAGATTTCTCTCACTGTGGCAGGATTTGGTTGTCCAACATCATTTCCGCATTCAGTGGCATCAAGGACGAGCTCGAGTTCATGTCCTGATTCCAAGGCTGTTGCAACTTCTGAGTATCCCACGAAAGTCGGTTGGACAATATCTATATCAAATAAAATTTACATACTTGAATTCTTGTGTATTTTTTGTATGGACAATTCGATTTTTGTATTAAAAACCTGGCGAAGCCCAGAAGACGGTTGACTCTGGGTCAAGTTGGCAGATGAACTCCATAACTTCGGATCCTCCAGTTCCATCTCCCAACTCATTGTCCCATTCTATCGTGTCCCAGAAACTAGGTTTCACCTTTATTTTGGAATGAAATTTGTTGCAAAATTTTTAAAATTATTTTTTGCCATTTTTTTTTATCATTTTTACCTGCACAGTTCCGTCCGCGAAAACGTTTGTATTAGTTGTGAAAACAGCGTAAGGAGATCCGAAACCTTGCGTGTTTCTGAATATTGCAGTGGTTGAAACCACTTTCAGCATCTCTTGATCACCTAAATTAGTTTTTTTTAACGAAACAATAACAATAACCCGAAGTTTTAATTTTGTATCAGAATTTATTTTAGCTCTTTGATTAACAGGTTGTAATAGAAAGCATCGCCAATAACAGGTATAACATCTTCTTTCCGATTCCACGTGGAATTGAAATAAATTTTCGCGTCCATTTCAAATTTATAACTACTTGAAAATTACGATGGCATTTCGGGTGATGGAAATTTTGAGGATTTCCTGGGCTATTTTCTGTGCCGTCCTCAAATTATTATTATTTTTTTTGTGAAATTAATTGTCTTTAAAAATTGAATTTATCATGGGTAATGTGGCTCAGTGTATTTTTCGATTGATTATATTTCTACATGAATTTTCATCGTGTTGACAATTTTCTTCGGCACATTCAGAGTCCTTTTTTATTTTCAAAGTGAACTGAGACAGAGAGTGACATCTATTCTTGCTCAATATAATTTTTCATTGTACTGGACAGAGTTGGATACAATTTATAATCTCTAATAAATTTTTATTTTGATATTTTATTATTATTTTTTAATAAATTGCCACTGTGACTCCCGCGGGAGACTTGAATTCTGGTCACGTGTTTTTCTTCAATTATTTTCGTTTTCAAATACTTTCAACTGACCTTGTTGGTACACATAAAAGGTGTCCACGGTGTGTCCGGTTTTCAAATTTCCATAGGAGACGCTGTCGAAATTTTCGCAATTTGCGAGCGAGTGGGTTAATGTCACCGTTTTCGAATCTGTCAAATGGTCCACGACGTCTTGATAGTTTGAAAGACGGATCCTGATCAAAATTTGCGTTTAAAAAAAATTACAAAAAGAATAAAATTTTGCGTATCGAGATTTTGAATAAAATGAATCAATATCCAATTAACCTAGGCCCGAAGTTGTGCGAAAATGCTTTCGCGGAACCTGTTTCGAGGGAACAACTTATCCTTGTTTCTCCGACCAGGTTCCACTTGTCCTTTGGTCTCGCTGTTAGAACTTCAATGAGAACTTCGTTGGTCCTCATGGTGCCTTCGTACATGGTAACCAATCCTTCGAGTCCGTTTCCGAAAGCATCTTTTGTGAATTAAAAAAAAAGGGAATTTTCACAAATGCAATGGGGAAAACGAGAACGAAATCCGCGTGGGTTCATTTTCCGTGGGCTCAGGAGAACTTGAAGAAAAATTCCCAGGGTTATTTATTTCGGCTGTTGAAGACGAGTCTTCAAGTTGATAAAATAATGGGTATAAATAATAATGATAATAAAAATGCAACTCACCTGAATCGAAGTTGTTGTAGGAAAATTTGAGGAATTTCACCCCGAATGTTCCCTCGACTTCTCCCCAAACATCCATGGGGATATTCATCATTTGCGGCTGGGGAAGAATTTTCCAAGGGGGGATTTTGTCAAGTTTTGGAAAAATTGAGGTTCTCCAAAATCCTTACCTGTATCGAAGTTCCTTCAACATCGCACAAATCAGTTTGCAGCCAAATTTGCACAATATTCCCTGTGCCGAGAGCTTCTAGGATTTCTTCGTAAGATCCCAGAGGAATTCGTTCTTCACGGCGCAAAATAAAAACACTTGGAAGCACGAAAAGGCGAGATGCAAATTTTTTCTCCCTTTTTTAAACGACTTACCTGCTATAATTCCGCTGATTGCGAGTAGGACGAAACAAAAGCACTTTTGGAGAAACATTCTCGTAACGAAATATTCGTAGGAACTGATGAAAACGGATTGAGGAAGTCGCAAATTTATTCGCGACCACGTGTTTTGTTTCTCACCCGATAAGCTACGGGATGTTTCAAATTGGCAGCCATAAAAACAAATCATTTGTAGTGATGTAACCTTACGAATTCCGGAAATGCTGAGTCATATTTCATTTAATCATGCAAATAATTATTTAATGCGGCGGATAAAATGGACGACTTGCGTAATTCCTTTTTCACGCAAGGGACTCGGACTGCAGCCAATTTTTGTACGTGCTTCGGATAACGACCTATTTTGGGATGATGATGGGTCGCATATTGAGTGAAAAATCGAAGTTGCTGTGGGGAAACGCGGCGCAGTTAGTGTCGTTATTATTTAATGGAATATTTTGCATAAATATTTATGCAGTAATTAATTTTTTAAATGCGGTCAAAATAGAATAGCCATTTTATATGTTACTTGGATTTTGATAATTTTACAATTTTTGAGGGAGGGCGGGTGGAGGGAGTCAGTGTGAAATTTATTTTTGCGACGAATATACCGAAAGTGACTACTAGCGACATCTGTGCAGAAGTACTACAACTATTAACGCTTGCTTCTCTTCATGGATGGCGCTTGTGACAAGGTTCGCGACATTATTTACCATAATTGAATCGTTGGTTTATGACACTAAATTTTTGATGATGATTTCGCAAAATCCAATTTTCAAATAAATTTTCATCATTTGCTATAAAATGTTGGCAAGATTTTTTTTCTTCTCACCTGTACAACGACCATTGTGGGCCAAAGTCGCGGGTCCCTCGCAGCGCGTCGCCAACTCGAACAAGCATTCGACACTGCGAACAAGTCCCCCGGGGGCAAGGTTGCGAAAATGGCGTAGCCGACGCTTGGCGGCAAATCGTTCCACCCCCCGAAAGCCGCCACTTTGTAACTGTCGACGCCTTTAGTCGCCTCGTCATCGTGGTCGATGATCGTTTGTCTTTGATGTCGGGTCGTCCATTGAGGTCCAGCTTGATACGTCGGGAGAAAATCCAGGCTATCGTCGTTTTCGCTGTCTGAACACACTATCAAGTCCATCATGATTTAACCTTGAACTGATTTCCTATGCATGTAATTTACTACTGTAATTTATTTATTTTTTCTGGACTGCAGAGAGGGTTTGTGAAAGTCCTGGAAAGATGGCGGAGAAATAATTTTGAGGAGGGTAATAAAGTTATGTGCAATCAGGCCTCATTCTAAAAAAGTTTGTGGCAGCTCTATTTTCTTATATTTTTACAAGGACTTACGCAATTTCATCTGCGTTGAAGTGAATTCGGAATTTTAAAGTTCTTCCGACGATTTGAAATTATTTTGGATGTATTCGTACAGAACTTTTTATTCGCATCGTCTTATTGTGAGCCAATCTCACTGCAGTACTTTTCTATTGGTATTTCCATTAGATTCAATTAACATTCTGAACTTCGGGAATGCGCGAATTTTTGATAAATCGTGAAATTGACGTCAGCCGTTTGCATTTTTTTCGTCGTTTTAATGAGCTGTGAAATTTAAGTCTTTTCCCTGTGCCCCATCGTTTTATAAAAAAAATTCCAGATTAAATCGTGATGTGCCAAAAAATATCTTTAAAAATAAAAAAAGTCCATTGTAAAAGCGTTTTACAGACCAAGCCTTAGGGAGTCTAGACTAAATAAGTAGTGGAAATTTACTTCGGTACGGACTTAACAAATCTTCTCAAAGGCGACTTGAAAAAACTTTGCTGAATTTTTAATAAACTGGTTTTTATGTGAAGAAGCTGTGTCAGAATTGTAGTTTTAAAAAGAAGAATCCGAAGAAATTACGACGTGATGAAAATGTCCTCAGACTCCTGAGAAAATTATTTTGTTTCTTTTGTTGAATTTCCGCTTGGACTTTTTGAAATCCGGTTGTTTTTTGAGGAATAAATCATCTGATGAAACTTTTCCAGTCTTCATTCCAGTTTAAATTTTTTTAAACTTGCTACAGATTGGATTTCCTCACAGTTCTCTTTACCACTGAAGATGCGAAGTTTGTCAACAAAAATAGTCGCTATCTGAAACTTCCAAACTTTGGTCAAGAATGGCGAGAAATAATCGTTGTGTTTCTATATGACGCCTTTATATTTCGTCTGATTCCTTTTTGTTTGCGAAGCGATGTGCAAAATAAACCTTTTTGATGAGATACTTTTTTTTCTAGTTGGCTTTTTGAAATAATTCGTGCCTTTACTGCGCAAAACAACTGCTTTACTTCAACGATTAAAACTAACTACGGCACGTCAAGACAGACAGAACGATCTAAATAAAGAATGAATAACCGGGAAAAGACGTGCTGTGCGACTTTGCATCGTTTCTGTATGCAAAATAATTCTAAAAATACTGTGCGCTGTTCACGATACAAAATTTTTGTCGTCTAAAAATAAATGAGTAATTATTTTTTTATTTTGTTGCTGCTCTTGTGTGAATTTTTTACGTTCGTGATATTATTCCCTCAGGTGTTTATGTCTGGACCGTTGCAAATTGATGTTAATTTCTTTTGTATTACATAATTGTCTGCTTGATTTTTGCCGGGAAAAATTCCGTTATATGATAGGTATTATTGTATTCTGTTTTCTTCTGAATATATACAATGCTGTACTTTTTCTCAGTAGTTTACTGATTTATTTTCCTCCACTTTTTCCATCTGCTTCTTTTCCTGACGTCAGCGGAACAATTAAATGTTTCGTGCGTCAAACTTTGGGTCCGGAAATTAGGAAGCGAAAAGAAAAGGGAACTCGGTTCATTTGCAAAAAAAAAACATTCTTTTTTCTTCTCTATTTCGTCATGCAAAACCCTACGCTTTTTTTTTTTTTTTTTTTTTTTTTTTTTTTTGTTTTTTTTTAAGGAAAACCCCTACGTTTTTTTTTTTTTTTTTTTCCATGCGTTCGTGGAATCGTTTGCGATCAGATAAATATATTTGCACTGGAAATTACGCGCCATATTCAGTCACGCCAGTTGGCATCAATTAAGCTAAAAAGGAAAAGAGTAATGGGTAATTACTAATTTAAACCGTCCATTTTGTGAAATTGAATTCGAAGAATTTATTTAAATAACGAATAACCTTATTTTCAGCGAATATGTGATAGAAAAACCTTTATAGAACACGTGATTTGGAAATAAGTTTGAGAAATAATTCGCTGAATTTGTTTCGATCAAAATTACCCATAGGAGAATATATGCTGGATTTTGACTCGACCCTCTGAAAAAAAACGCTTGACAGGAGGTTCACAATAAAATATTCAAGTTGCATTTAGTTATTTCAAGAAAAAATGATAATTTTGAAAATGATCGAATTCGATTTTCTGAAAGCATTAATCCGAACTGAACCCAACTGCTGCCCATACGGCAAACAATTTCAGGCACGCTCATGCAGGCCAACAAAAAAATAAACTGCGTTAATTGATGCTGTGTTACTTCACATGCAATTTAA